AAGGCAGGGACAGAGGACAGCAGTAACACATCACGGAACAGACAGCAGAAGAGTGAGAATTGTAACTGCTCACAGCATGGATCTGAGCTTGAGCCATAACCAAAATCAAATGCCAACTAATTTAATCTGTTTTGGTGAATATATAACACTCATCACTCCTGTGATGCAATGACAATCACACACACCTCAGTGGAATTATACCACCTTAATTCACAATTAATTTATACCAAGTCAAATAATGTTTTATTGGTTAGTAGTTAAAACTTCCTAGACATGGTCCCTCACCCACTAAACACTGACAGAAAAGAAATACTGCATGGAACAAACAAAAAGGAAAAGAGTGTTCAATTTTTTTTTTATTTATTTTTACTTAATGGATATGGAACATCACAGGTGCCAGGAGGAGAGAGGGAACTGTCAAGGACATCTTGTGTACCCTGAATTCTGGTTGGGAAGGGAAGCCAGTGCCAGCATCTTTTTCTTCTGGAAAGAATCTCTATTCTTTTATAATAAAGATCAATGACATTTCCTTCTCCCTCTTCTGTCCACCCATTGCCCCTATCTACACTAAGGCCATGTGCCATCAATACTATGAACACTTTATTAGTATGGGAATACCAGGACACTATACCAGAAAAGCTCTCCTAGCATTGATGCAACTTATATTGGCAAAGCTGGGCTTTTACCTGTATACCTTATTCCACTTGCCGAAAGTGAAAGAGCTATAACTGTAAAAGTGCAGGTTTGCTGATACAACTGCATCACCAGGGACTTCCGTCAGCACAGTTATATTGGTTAGGGAAGGGACCATACCTCTCACTACCCCAACCTAGCTATTCTAACAAAAGCCTATCGTGTGGATGTCGCCTATGAAATTTAGAACTTCTATCTCACTTCTAGAGTACTTTCACTGATAACAGGGAAGCTATAATGCAGACAAGTCTTCTGCATCTTTGCTACTGCCACGTCTAACTTGGGCTTGAAAGCATACTTCACATTTAACCACAGGTGCCCAAAGCCACATATCCCTCCAGAGCCATACCACTCCCCTACACCCATTTCCTCATTAGGAGATCATCTTTACTGCTGGATCAGTTACACTTAGCTAATATCAAGGCCTTGTCTACACATGAAAGTTTTATCAGTTATACGGATATAAACTCCTGTGTTAACACTCTTATTGCAGTATGAGTGGGCTTGTTTCAGGTTAGTTTAAACCCTTTGCTAAGTAAAAAAGCTAAATATAAAGCACCACTCATATTAGAATAAGTGTTCACATGGGGGGGGGTAGTTATACTGGTATAATTATATTGGCTTAAATTCACATTCTTATTCTGAAAAAAAACAAAAAACCTCCCACATAGACAAAGTCCAAGAACATATACCACTACCACAATCTTAAATAAGGCAGAAGTTGAAAGCACTCAATTCCTGCTTATTCTGGGTGAGTGGAATTTAAATGTGTATCCAACCCAAACTTTGACTTCAGTTGAACTCGAGCACATGCTTGAGTTCTTTCCTGAACTGACCTCTATTCTCTGGAATAAAAATATTCTATGTATATATTTTAAAAGCCCTGTTACACAAAACCCATTGATCTATTCCCAAAAGTCACGTTAGGAAAGGGTTAGCTATTTAAATTTACTAGGTTTAACCAAAAAAACACTAGTAGAGATTGCTTGCCCCACTCCCACATAAAATGTGAAAATGCTGTGTACATTTTATGAATTGTTGGGAAAAGGAATTTTTTAAAAGAGTTTATCTAACATGTTTTAAATAAAGTGTAATTCTCAAACAAACGTGACTTTTCCTTTAATCTATAAGTGTGGAAATAATATACATACATACCACATTTCTATAAGAAATTCTGCTTGACAGCTAGAAAGACAACCTTCCCTACATTGGGTAGGAGGCAAGTTTGATCCAGCTCTTCTGGGTACAAGATGTTCAGTACAAAGTCACACATTTTTAGACAGCTTTCTAGTAGATCTTTAAACAAATATAGTCTTCCACCAGCAATACAAAAGGAAGACATGGAATGCTTGCCACATTCCAAAAGTGTGCAAATTTGAATACTGCCCAATCATAACACAAGGGGGGGAGAGGAGGGAAGGGAAGTAGGACAAAAAAGTGGCAATGCACAACTGGAAAAAGCTATTTCTGAATTCCAGTTGTGAGGCCTGGATCAAAACAGTAATGCAAACAATGGGAAATAAGAACAACATAGAAGGCATAAATGAAAGTTTTGTGCTCTAATGAACTGGAGAATATATGCAAATATGTTTGAAGGAGATGGGATTAACTGAGGAAAAGAATGGCAACTTTAACATGGGTCTTTTGCAGAGCGCCTCAAATTCTGATTTTCAATTAACATAGTAGTTACTATTTCCTCCAAATCACATTTTATTGTTTCCTCATCCCAGAGAGGACACATTTAGTGTATTTGGGTACAAAGTTAAAGAACATCTAGACTTTTTTTTATATGTAAACATGCTGACATATCAGGTTTGTTACTCATATGTTTAAACCACACAATTAGAACAAGGAATAAATTACACAACCAAAATCCCCTTCTGCTTCCCAGTTTGGCTTTTGGAGTGCTTGAAATTTCCAGTTCCCAAGCACAAACCTAAACTAAATCTAAACTATCTAGGTTTTTAAGGGTCACTGTTTAACAAAAAGTAGCATGCAATAGTCAATTGTATTCCTCTAAAGTTTATTTTTCAAGTATCTCTTTTTCAGTATAATACAAAAGATAAAATAGAGTAACAGCTGGATCAGTCTCCAGTTAACTAAACGGGATGTTAGCAAAGGAGATCTTATGAAGAAAATATTTCCAACAGTTACCTGCCTGCCTCAGACAGCGAGTAGAAAGTAGTTAGGATAGAAAGTCACTAACTCATGCTAGTGATTGGGAGACCCATGATAAATTAATTATACAAATTAGCATGTGAGCACATTATAGAAAGGATAATGCATCAAAATGCACTTTAGTTTATTTTGACAACAGTAGTTTAGTGTTTAATTATTTATGACCACTTACAATGTATCAGTAAATGTACTGTAGCATATTCAGTAAGTCTTAGCAGATGTTGTAATGAAGTTTTCTATTACTATTAAGTCTTTGAGAAGTGGGGAGAGACTGCCTTGTATGTGAGTTATTTTAAGAAGTGTACATTAGTGAAGTTCTACTTCAGTTCACTTACAGTTTTAAAATGATCTGACAAGTTTGATGAAAACACCATTTACAAATATGCTTTGACTTTTAATAGAGACATTCCAATCCTAGAATATACTGTCTAGCTAGGTCACCATTAGGGAGATATTAAATTATCCCTACTTATGCAAATCATGAAGATAGCGAGGAGGAGGAGTTTAAGATCACCCCCACTCTTTTTGAGAGGCGGGAAAAAGTTATTGAAAAGTAAAATACACCAATGCATCAAAGATTTAAATAAAATATTTGAAATAATAAAGACTTTTCATCATATTGTGTTATTCCTGTCTAGAAGTAGTTTTTTCAGGTTATAGTTTTCCTAGCTGTTCATTCTGGCTGCTGCTTCTGTTTTGTGATGTCATCTCAAACTAACCAGATTGGACTGGCCAGGAACCTTAAAGAAGGTGAAAGGCCTGAAGTTTACACTCAAATTACAATTTGCTGATGAGCAATATTAAAAGGGAGCAAGAGGAATCAAAATAATTTGTCCTATTTGCTAATATGTTAAACACTAACATAAGCTAAAAGAGGATACTTGATGTAGTGATTTTCAGAATGCTAGGCACTTCTTAAGCTTTATGTTTCAGTGCAATTATTTAGTCAATAAGACTTCTAAAATGTTTTTTGGCACCAATGTGTTTTCCAGGAAGATATTGGCAAGCACATTTATTATGGTCTTTATGTACTAATGTAATTGTATATTTTTAAAATGTTCCCTCTAATTAAATGTTTGAGACCTCCTTAGTTTTAAGGAACTGAAATCCACAAGTTCCCCCAGCATACTAACAGCACCTGTAGGCTTGGATTTACGACAAGAATAATTTGCTAAACTATACTAGTGCCCATTAGTACTATTATAGTTGAGATTCAGGCTACTATTAAAAGTAACCTCTATACCCAAGTTAAATCCCATTTTCTGATGACTAATTCAACTAGAAAAAAAAATTCTGCTGGGTAGAAATACTGCAAACAGGTTTTCATCAAAATAGGTTCTACATTTATTAAAGTACAAAAGGAGCACCTTTGTTTCTCATGATGTGCTGAATTTAGATGCCAGTTTTAAAATTTATGCACATCATTGATCCATACACTGGGATCAATTAAATTTTTTTTAAAAAAATCAGACTAAACTTCAAAACATAAGTAGTTATTTTATCTGTGGTACAGAAGCCGTCTAGCCCTTTTTAGTATTTTATTTAAAGATGCAAATTCTGAGCAACAGGCCTCAAAGTGTCACTCAGCATAGGAGGTAACAATTTTAGAGGTGCAGTTTGCCTGTAACTTGTACTAGGGTGTACTAGACTCAGATTTATGAGCAGCAATTTTCAATACATATTACAATGCTTTCAGGGCATGCCAAAGTTGACTGCACTTTAGTTAACTCAAAACACATCTTCAGGTAGTCTCATCCTGTCCTAAAAGTTTTATTTGTTTCAAATGTGAAAACAACAGCTAATTTTATGCAGCCAACATACTGCTACAACTAGGCACAACATCACAGATTGAAGAGCAATACAGTATAGTACTGGCATGATTGTTTTTGCTTCTTTGTGATAAGTCCTGTTGCTTTTTACTTGAAATGGGTGGGTTTTCTGTTACAGTTTTTACACAATTTTAGTCATTAGACTAATTACTGGGATACAGAAAAGCAAAACCGTAACTCCTCCGCTGAGCTATTTTAATGCAGATTATTTAGACCAGAAGCAAGAGGGGCAAGGAGGGGGAGATTTTACACAAAGCTCCTACTGGCGTTCAGCGTGAAATGGTCACTTACAAATATGGTCATCCATCTCCAGAGGCCTTCTCAGGCGGATGCTGGGAGGGACGGTTCTATCAATCAGCTCATCGATACTCTGAAAAAGGACATCCATGTAAGTACCGCGCGTTCCCCGTCACCCGGCAGCTTTCTGTTTGATAGCCTGCACTAACGCGCACACAAATTTTAAAAGAGTCTCTCCTCTTCACAGTCTCTCATCACATCTCTCCGTGGGACCTTTGTTGAGACTCGTTTCGTTGTTACCGGAGTCTCGGCGAGTCCCCACTTCTTGCTCTTGTGCACCTCGCTCCGGAACTTCCCTGCGGGCGGAGGGCGAGGCAGAGACGGGAGGACGCGACGGGGAAGTGGTTTTAGGGAGATGCAAAGATGCACAAGAGGGTAGGAGAGGGGGAGGGAAAGCGAGCAGGAAAACACGGGGGGCACCAGACTGAGGAGCAGCGGGGGGGGGGGGTGGAGAGGGGGGCAGAGCGGGCAGCACAGTGGGCAAGGAGCCCGCAGGGACTTACCGCCAGACCCACACTTTGCAGCATTTCCCGCTTCTCTTTGTCCCGGGGCCCGATATGCCGCTGGGAGAAGTCATCGTGCCGGGGCAGGAGCTGCTCGATGTACCGGGAGGACTCGGAAGCGGCGGCGCTGGTGTTCGGGGCGCTGCCCCCCGCCGCCGCCGGCGCGCTCTGCTGCCCCCGCCATCCCCATCTGCCCGGCGGCTTCTTCCCCGCCAGGGCGGCCCCCCGGCCCACGAGCCGCCCCCACCAGCGGGCACAGGTCTGCATGCTGCTGCCGCCGCCGCGCCCGGCCAACTCCCCAGCCCGCGGCACCTGCCGGGCACTTTGTGGGGAGGCCCCGAGGCGCCCCCACCCTCAGACCCCGCGCCAATGGCAGCCCGAGGGGAGGGGCCGCCTGACCCCGCCCCACACAACCCGGCCCGCCGGGCCACCTGCCGGTGCGCCCACAGCCACCGACAGGGCAAGTTTCCCTTCGGCCCCGCGGCTCTTTCCAGCCGCCCAGTCCCGCTTCTCCATCCCCAGCTCCGCTCAGCCCTCTTTCCACCCGCAGAGCCCTTCCCCAGCCCCCCTTCTACATCCCCAGACCCCCCTCAGCCCCCTTCCCACCCCCAGAGCCCTTCCCCAGTCCCCCTTCCGCAGTCCCCAGTCCCCCGCAGACCCCTTCCCACCCGCAGACCCCTTCCCCAGTCCCCCTTCCCCAGTCCCCCTCAGCCCCCTTCCCCAGTCCCCCTTCTCCATCCCCAGTCACCTCAGCTGCCTTCCCACCCGCAGACCCCTTCCCCAGTCCCCCTTCTCCATCCCCAGCCCCCTCAGCCCCCTTCGCACCTGCAGAGCCCTTCCTCAGTCCCCCTTCTCCATCCCCAGCCCCCTTCCCACCCACAGAGCCCCTTCCTCAGTCCCCCTTCTCCATCCCCAGCCCCCTTCCCACCCGCAGTGCCCCTTCCCCAGTCCCCCTTCTCCATCCCCAGTCCCCTAAGCCACCTTCCCACCCCCCAGGGCCCTTCCCCAGTCCACCTTCTCCATCCCCAGCCCCCTTCCCACCCACAGAGCCCCTCCCTCAGTCCCCCTTCTCTACCCCCCAGCCCCCTTCCCACCCGCAGAGCCCCTTCCTCAGTCCCCTTTCTCCATCCCCAGCCCCCTTCCCACCCACAGAGCCCCTTCCTCAGTCCCCCTTCTCCACCCCCCAGCCCCCTTCCCACCCGCAGTGCCCCTTCCCCAGTCCCCCTTCTCCATCCCCAGTCCCCTAAGCCACCTTCCCACCCACAGAGCCCCTTCCTCAGTCCCCCTTCTCCACTCCCCAGCCCCCTTCCCACCCGCAGTGCCCCTTCCCCAGTCCCCCTTCTCCATCCCCAGTCCCCTAAGCCACCTTCCCACCCCCAGGGCCCTTCCCCAGTCCACCTTCTCCATCCCCAGCCCCCTTCCCACCCACAGAGCCCCTCCCTCAGTCCCCCTTCTCTACCCCCCAGCCCCCTTCCCACCCGCAGAGCCCCTTCCTCAGTCCCCTTTCTCCATCCCCAGCCCCCTTCCCACCCACAGAGCCCCTTCCTCAGTCCCCCTTCTCCACCCCCAGCCCCCTTCCCACCCGCAGTGCCCCTTCCCCAGTCCCCCTTCTCCATCCCCAGTCCCCTAAGCCACCTTCCCACCCCCAGGACCCTTCCCCAGTCCCCCTTCTCCATCCCCAGCCCCCTTCCCACCCGCAGTGCCCCTTCCCCAGTCCCCCTTCTCCATCCCCAGTCCCCTAAGCCATCTTCCCACCCCCCAGGGCCCTTCCCCAGTCCACCTTCTCCATCCCCAGCCCCCTTCCCACCCACAGAGCCCCTCCCTCAGTCCCCCTTCTCTACCCCCCAGCCCCCTTCCCACCCGCAGAGCCCCTTCCTCAGTCCCCTTTCTCCATCCCCAGCCCCCTTCCCACCCACAGAGCCCCTTCCTCAGTCCCCCTTCTCCACCCCCCAGCCCCCTTCCCACCCGCAGTGCCCCTTCCCCAGTCCCCCTTCTCCATCCCCAGTCCCCTAAGCCACCTTCCCACCCCCCAGGGCCCTTCCCCAGTCCCCCTTCTCCATCCCCAGCCCCTTCCCACCCACAGAGCCCCTCCCTCAGTCCCCCTTCTCTACCCCCCAGCCCCCTTCCCACCCACAGAGCCCCTTCCTCAGTCTCCCTTCTCCATTTCCAGCCCCCTTCCCACCCGCAGAGCCCCTTCCTGAGTTCCCCTTCTCCACCCCCAGCCCCCTTCCCACCCGCAGTGCCCCTTCCTCAGTCTCCCTTCTCCATTTCCAGCCCCCTTCCCACCCGCAGAGCCCCTTCCTGAGTCCCCCTTCTCCACCCCCAGCCCCCTTCCCACCTGCAGTGCCCCTTCCTCAGTCTCCCTTCTCCATTTCCAGCCCCCTTCCCACCCGCAGAGCCCTTCCCCAGTCCCCCTTCTCCATCCCCAGCCCCCTAAGCCACCTTCCCACCCGCAGAGCCCTTCCCCTGTCCCGCTTCTCCATACCCAGCCCCCCTCAGCCCTCTTCGCACCTGCAGACCCCTTCCCCAGTCCCCCTTCTCCATCTCCAGCCCCCCTCAGCTCCCTTCTCACCCACAGACCCCTTCCCCAGTCCTCCTTCTCCATCTCCCGCCCCCCTCAGCTCCCTTCCCACCCGCAGACCCCTTCCCCAGTCCCCCTTCTCCATCTCCAGCCCCTTCCCACCCGCAGACCCCTTCTCCATCCCCAGATCCCCTCAGCCCCCTTCCCCCATGCAGAGCCCCTTCCTCAGTCCCCCTTCTCCATCACCAGTCCCCTCAGCCCCCTTCCCACCTGCAGAGCCCCTTCCTCAGTCCCCCTTCTCCATCCCCAGTCCCCTCAGCCCCTTTCCCACCCACAGAGCCCGTTCCCCAGTCCCCCTTCTTCATCTTCAGCACCACCATCCCCCTTCGCACCAGCTCTTCCCCAGTCTCCCTTCTCCATCCCCAGTCCTCTCAGCCCCCTTCCCACCCACAGAGCTCCTTCCCCAGTCCCCCTTCTCCATCCCTAAACCCCCTCAGCTCCCTTCCCACCCACAGAGCCCCTTCCCCAGTCCACCTTCTCCATCCCCTGACCCTCTCACCTCCATCCTCCACAAAAACATTCCCCTCCCAGACCTCCTCATCCCTATCGACCCCACTCCCTCCCCATTCCCTGATCCTCTCATCCCCCTCTACTGTCCATCCCACTCCCATACCTCATCCGTCATCCTCCTCCCCATCCCCAGATCCCCCTCCTCACCCTCAGACCTTCCTCATCCCCAGCCCCAGTCAACCCCCAGCCCTCTCCATCCCCACTCCTAGCTCTCTCCTCATCATCCTCAGCTAGGGTGACCAGATGTCCCATTTTTAAAGGGACAGTCCCGTTTTTTGGGACTTTTTCTTATATTGGTGCCTATCACCCCCCACCCCCTGTCCTATATTTTCATAGTTGCTTCCTGGTAACCCTATCCTCAGCCCCCTTCACCACTCCTGCTCCCTCATCCCTATTAACCCATATCCTGAGTAACCCCACTTCCCCTGCACTTATGGTCCCCATCTCCCATCTTTCCTCTTCTAGCTCCTCAGTCCAGGCTCTTACTGGACTCTCTCTAGCTTTGCCTTCTGCCTTCCAGCCCCTCCACCCCCATGATCCCCCCTTCCACTGCCCTGCATTAAGCCCTCACCCTACAGCTCCTTTTCTCCTCATGTTTCCACTGCCCCTCATCCTTCAGTTCTAGATCTCCCTACCCCAGCCTCCCCTGTTCCCCTGCTCTCACCCCTCTCTCTCTCAAGCAACTCAAAAGTTTCAGGTCTATTTCAATAATCATATTGGCATGACACGGAAGTATTGGCAAGCCTAACACATCAAGTGTCTGTCACCATTTACATAATATCCTCTTGTAAACACATCACAATGCCAAAGTGTAAGCTAAACTCAGATCTGAAAGAGGGGGAAATAGTGGCTGAAGATTAACAGTAACAATATGTTGTACTTCTGTAGCACACTTTTTGTTCCCCTCCTCTGCACCCCAAACTATTAAGAGGATACTGCTACTGTATTTGATTTACAGCCTGCAACTTTGATGGGAAAGTTTATATAAGTGCCAAATACGGTTACTGTTCAACTGCAGTTCTGTTCAGGAACTAGCATCTGAAGAATAAAAGTTTTTTTTTTTTTAAAGTGCTGCTTTTTCATAGTAGTGAAATAATATCAGCCATAAATATAATATTTTTATCAGAAAATCCTCATTGTCTAAATTCAGGTAATGTTTGGCAGTTTAGGTGTCCATTATTAGAATATCTGACTGCCTATCAGGAAATTGAAAAAGACTTATCCCCCACACTCAATATCCATCATCTATATGAACCCCCCCCCCAAAAAAACTGCTCTTGTCTCAAACCCTGTATGATCTGAATAAATTCTGACCTATTCCATTTAAGAAGATGAAATTCTGCTGTATTTGTAAACTTATCTTTTCCCATTCTGTAGGCATGGTACAGATTTTGACAATTCTATTCCTAAAGTATACTTATCAGAATTGCAAGTGATTTTCTTTAACTTAAAAAGGTAGTTAGGCTATACAATCTTGTATGTGTTTGATTATTAGCATTTGAGATACTGGCATATAGCCAGTTGTGGGAGCAGGGAGGAGTGGAGGAAAAAGATAAAAGAAATTCACTGGTATCAGAGGAACAGCCGTGTTAGTCAAATAAATTGGTTAGTCTCTAAGGTGCCACAAGAAATTCACTGTAAACTAAATGCCTATGAAGAGATTCTCAATTGGTATAAATTAGCATAACTCCACTGACTTCATGCTCTTTTACGTCAGCTGAGAATCTGGCCCTTAGGTCTCTAATTTTGTCTTCTATCTCTAAGGAAATATTTAGTTTTAATCTTTATTTTTATTTTATTTCATCTAGTAATTGGGGATTCCCCTCCTTCTCATCCTTACTGCAGAAAGCAGCAGCAAGCTTCAATGTAAGTAAACTGGAACATGGATATCTGTCTCACAAGCATAAGGGAGCAGTTATTTCTTTGATGTCAGAACTCTGAAGGCTGTTTGCCAGCACATCTTTCAAAGATGCTCCCAGAATGCAGCATTACATGATATATCTAATTGTATCATAAATGGTAGTTGCACCCTGATAGGAAAACTTGTAGTGATTCTCCTTCTTTAGAGCTCTCACCAGGCAAAATAATCAGCCTTCGAGTTCATGCAACTCCCATATTGTGGTGGTGCAGTGGAGTGGCTTATCTATGATACACATCAGTCTGCTGTGCAAGCGCATAAAGAAAACAAAGAACCCTGCATGCCTGGGAATTGCAGAGTTGAGTTGGAATGGTGAATTCTTGTAAATTTCCTGTTAGGGATCCACTACATGCTTGTAGTAACTCCCCTAAATGGGCCACAGTGGGTAGCATATTCACTCCAACTTGTCTGGACACCTAAAATGCAGGAGAAGTTTCTGAAGATTGCCTTATGTAGTAGGTCTGACCAACAATCAGGGCTGAAAGGGCTCACTCAAACCCATATGTCTGCATTTATTTATATCAATCTGCAAATTCCATTTTGTTTTTGGGAGGGCCATTTTGACTGTAAAACTCTTCCTTGCCTGCACCTTAGCTCCACAGCATACATAATGAGCTGAAAAAGAGGGTCAGGAGGGATAAATTCTTACACTTAGCAGGTTACCCAGGGAGGATCATTAAACTTTGATGCAAACACCCTTTGACAAAGAACTGTCTATTGCCCAGGGAAACCTGTTCTACCAGGTGGGCTAGTGACCAAGCAACAGATCATCTGATAGGGTGCTTTGATCAGTTGATGGGGGTTTGAGGCTGATCAGGGAAGTCACCAGACAGGACTGGAAGTTATAAAAGGAAAAGGTCTGCTGAGTAGCTCTTGCTCACTGACTAGAACAAGAAGGCAAGAAGATAGGAAGGAAGGAATAAGGGAGGCAAGAGGATGGGATGCAGCAGAATCCTGGACTCCCTGAACAGATTCCCAATTCCCAAAGGACTTTTGGAGTGGTGAGGAAACTGAGGCAGGGATTTGCATGCAAATTTTGTCTGCAAATAAATTGGTTAGTCTCTAAGGTGCCACAAGTACTCCTTTTAATTTTGTCTCCCTCTATTGATCTGTATCTCTCTTGTCTATGAGTAAAGTGGAATTGGTTTGGAATTCTTTTGCAAAGTCTGTGTGTTCTTGCTTAAACAGTCCGGTGTCCCTGAAAGTTAAACTAAAAACCAGCATAAACCAGATGGAGCTTTGGGGAGAGTGTGCTTGAGCAACTAGGGCACTTGGGGCAGGGGGGAGGAATCAGCACTGGTGCTGGGGACCTAGGGTAGTTTAACCACAGGATCCCATTCCCTGGAAGTGTTAACAGACAGTCTATGCCCTAGAAATATGGCCAAAGACTGGTGGAAGCCTGCTGAGACCTAGGGGAGCTCAGAAGCATGCTGGATCCAGGGTTTGGATCCAAGCACAGCAGCCTGCTCCAGCAGAGGAAGCTTGACCAGATCTACAACAGTGGGATTTAGTTGTTCTGTTTTTTAACATTATTTATAATTCTCTTATTATACTTCATTATAATAGGTTAGTTCTCTTTCAAAATTGTTAGCCAGAGAAATGTTTTGGATAGGGTTTCCAACTTTCTAATTGCACAAAACCAAACAGCCTTGCCCCGTCCCACCCCACCCCTTCTCTGAGGCCCCGCCCGCACTCACTCCATCCCCCCTCCTGCCATCGCTTGCTCTCCCCTGCCCTGACTCACTTTCACTGGGCTGGGGTTTGGGGTAAGGCCTCCGACTGGGGGTGTGGGCTCTGGGGTGGGGCCAGAAATGAGGGATTCAGGGTGCAGAAGGGGGCTCCAGGCTGGGGCAGGGAGTTGGGGTGCAGGAGGGAGTGTGGGCTCTGGCTGGGGGTGTAGGCTCTGGGGTGCAGGAGAGGGCTCAGAGCTGGGGAAGGGGGTTGGGGAGCAGGCTCTGGGAGGGAGTTAGGGTGTGGGAGGGGGTTCCAATCTGGGGCAGGGGGTTGGGGTGCAGGAAAAGGATTGAGGCACAGGCTCTAGCTGGGTGGCTCTTACCGGTCAGCAGTGCAGTGGGACTTAGGCATGCTCCATGTAGCTCCCGGAAGCGGTCGGCATGTCCCTGCGGCCCCTAGGCAGAGGGGCCGGGGGCTGTGCATGCTGCCCCTCAGCTCTCATTGGTCATGGTTCCAGGCCAATGGGAGCTGCAGAGCCTGCGCTGGGGGTGGGGGTAGTGTGTGGAGCTACCCTGATCACCCCTCTGCCTATGGGCCACAGGGACATGCTGACCACTTCTGGGAGCTGCATGGAGGCAGGGCAGGCAGGAGGGAGTGCTGACTGGAACCGCCAGGATCCCTTTTTGGCTGGGCATTCCAGTTGAAAACCGGATGCCTGGCAACTCTACTCAGCAGGCTAATGATGCTGAGTGGGGGTTAAAGTAACATGGAGCATAGGTCCCTATAGTTTGCCAAAAGCAGATGGAGAATTTCCCCTCCTAGCTTTTTCTCTCTTGGGCTTTGGAGACCTGACCACCCGCTCCTTTGCTTCTTCACTGGTTGGTAAAAATCAGGATTCATCAAGCAGGAGAAACGGTTGCCTGGCTGAGGAGTTTATCAGGTTATAACCTTTCCTGATAGTAAACGGAGCAGTACCAGCACCCGATGGGAGAAGAATTATCCAAGCTGCTTTTGTAATCAGCAGGAAGACTAAGTGTCAGAAGCAAAACAGAATAAATCTATTGATCAGTTACAGTTATCGAGTATATAACTCTCATGTTTTTAAGTAGTCTGGCTGTGATGGTGTCTCCAGCACCTGCTTACTACCTAATCTATTCAGGTTTCAGAGTAACAGCCGTGTTAGTCTGTATTTGCAAAAAGAAAAGGAGTACTTGTGGCACCTTAGAGACTAACCAATTTATTTGAGCATAAGCTTTCGTGAGCTACAGCTCACTTCATCGGATGTATCCAATGAAGTGAGCTGTAGCTCACGAAAGCTTATGCTCAAATAAATTGGTTAGTCTCTAAGGTGCCACAAGTACTCCTTTTCTTTTTGCTAATCTATTCAGTTACCTCCCCTTTCCCTTTCTTTCACTTCCAATGGCCAATCCATAGCTGCCAAGTTTTTTCCTGTTCCATGTGTTCCTGTTCTCATGCACTCATGAGAAAATGTCACTGATTTTTCCCCCTCAGAGTTCTCCTGCCATCCCCCACCATCAATGAGAGTATATGTATGGGGAGTAGTAGGGTATTGCTGGTGGGGGATAGGGGAACTTGGGGTAAATCCTCTCATTCTGCCCCTCTCCTTATTAGCCTCATCAGTATCATCCCCCATTCTTTTCACCCCACTCCATCCCAACTCTCCCAGGGGCTCTTGGTACCTCCTCCACCTCTCAAGGGGCTTCACACTAGCAAGCCAGCAGGGGAACAAATGGATGGGAGGCACAGAGGCTGCCTGAAATTGGGTGCAAAAGTAGAGATCAACAGGAGCAAGTGGAGTTATTTGCATGCAGACCAGCTGAATGTAGGAGATCTCTAGAGCCAGGCTGCTGGAAGTTGTGACAGGGCTGCCAAATACATTAAATGGGTGACACCTGATAGCCCTGCCAAGCTCCTAAACCTACAAAACTGCTGACAACAGCAAGGTTTGAGAGACTGTTACTGGGCCATATGCTCCCAAAGTCCTGCCTCTGTAGGGAAGCAGAGCGGTTAGCTAGTCCCCTCCCCTTGTTGCTGCTGAGTTTCTCTCTTGGAGAACACTGGGGCTTTTTAAAAGGCCTGCCCCCCACTCCCCAGGAAATTCTGTGTAAGACACCAGCCTACATGCTAATAAGGCCAGATGCCTCTATAGTCCTACATTAGGGAGGTATTAATGATATCAAACTAACTACAGTACCCTTACCTTCCTGCTTGATTTTAATAGATGTGCAGGACATAGGTCCCACAAACAAAGAGCAGCCTCAAGCACCCTTAGCTCATCAAAGAGTTTAGTAAATGACACTGGTTGAAACTCAACTAAAGTAAACATGACATGTCCTCTTCAGGCACAGTTCTGCTCCCCTGAAAGTAATGTAGTCTGAATATCTGCAAAAAAAAAAAAAAAAAAAAATAGAAAATGCCTCACAATGAAAAATATGCAATTTCATTCCAAACTGTCCAGTGCCAGGAACAGTTTCACTGGAGGATACTCTGCAGAAGTGAGGGTGAAAAATAAACAATAAGGATTAAAAGTGCTGTATGTGGTCCACACTGTTTTGAATAGTTTACTGGAAACAGTTTACAAGAAAATAGATTTCTTGAAACGATAATAAAAAGGTTTCCTATAAATGAATAATATCAATTCCTTCACTGTAGTAAAAATTAACAATAGAACTTTGCATTTCTATAGAGTCTTCCACCAAACGATCACAAAGCACTTTATAAACATTAAAAAACCGAAACCTCACAGCACTTCTCTGAGGCAGTATTATCCTTATTTTATGGATAGGGCATCCTGAGGCATCACAAATTGAAGTGGTTTGCCTACGGGGAAACACAAAGTTTATGGCAGATCTAAGAATAGAACCAATATTTCTGGAGTTACATGCCTGAATCACAGATCATCCTTCCCTATTCCCCTGGTTTTTGTGGGAGCAAAACGAAACAGACTACTTTATAGAAAATGTTTCAGTTGGAGTCTTCAAACCAGACAAACTCCTTGGTTCTACATTCTCCCTCCCAAACTGTATAATCCCACCACTGCAATCCAGTCTGTTTTTACAGTAACCATGGGTGTTTAACAAAATGCCTACCCTCACTAGTCTGATATTTTTAAAAAATAACCTGTTTACAAACCCCTGGTTATTTTTTTAAACACAAAATGTACCAATATCCACACTCTAGACTAGGGGTGGGAAAGCTTTTTGGCCAGAAGGCCACATCGGGGTTGCAAAACTGTAAGGAGGGCCGGGTAGGG